GCTTCCATGGTGGTTTGACCCAGAGAGAGGTGTGGTCACTGTTCTCCTGGTATATGCTCTGGTCTTTACCCAGAAAGGTCCCCTCATCTCCTATAGCTACAAGTGCTAATGTTCCTCTCTGCCTTTGAACTGTAACAAGGCTACCTGCTCCCTTGTGAGTGACCACAAATGTTCCTTGGAGCCATGCCTTATAAATGCTTATGGTCAATAAAGTTGCCAATCAGTGTCAGCTGCCAGCAAAGTGTCCCCTATTATCATTTTTTGTTTTAGTTTTTGTTTTTTGGTTGGGCAATGGGGGTTAAGTGACTTGCCCAGGGTTACACAGCTAGTAAGTATTATGTGTCTGAGGCTAGATTTGAACTCAGGTCCTCCTGAAACAGGGCCAGTACTCTATTCACTATACCACCCAGCTGCCCCTCCTATTATCATTTTTTCAAGAAGCATATTTTTTCTGAACCCCCTTACCATCTCTGGGCCGAGAGCTCCTAAAGCTGCTGCTACAACTGTCTTAGCCACCTCTAAGGCCTGCCTGTTTTGCTACTACCACATGTTCTTTGGGCCAGCCCACACTTTTGGTATCACAGATCTCTCTTGCTGACCTTTTAAGTTGTCTAAGGTGAGGAAAGCATCTCATCCTGATCTTTTCCTGACTCTGTCACTCCAAAATTTGATTTGAGGCATTATTTTAAAGTGTTTTGGATACAAACATTGGGAGAGTCTGGTGGGGTTGCTGCCTCTAATCTACCATTTAGGATCTAATGTGGGAATTCTTTTCAATTGAAGAAACTATAGCTATCTGTAGCCACATGAGAAAAGAAAAAAAAAGTTCCAAATCAGTATAAATTAGACAAATGAAAATTAAATCAATTCCAAGATTCTACCTCATTCTCATAAGGTTGGCAAAGATGACAAAAAAAGGAAAATGAATATTTTAAAAGAGCTGTGGGAAAATAAGCATATTTATACACTGTTAGTAAATCTATGAAGTGGTACAACCATTCTGGAAAGCAATTAGATTTAATATATGAAAAAGTTACTAAATAGTGCATCTTCTTTTACCCAGCTATACCATGATCAGTCTGTGCCCAAAAGAGAAAAGAAGTAGTAAAAGGTTCTATTATATAAAAATATTCATAACAACTTTGTGGTAATAGGAAAAAAAACTGGAAACTAAGAGAAGACCATCAATTGAAAAATGTCTGAGTAAGTTGTGGTATACGAATGTGGTTAAATAGTTACTGTGCCATAAGGAATGAGAAAATTGATGATTCTGAAGAGCCATGAAAGGTCTTATATGAACTAATGTAGATTTAAGTAAGCAATACCAGAAACAGCATTTTGTATCAATATAATAAAAATTAATGATTTCAAAGATTTCAATAAACTGATGAAGAAATAATGAAATGAGATTTAGAACAATTTATATAAATCAACAAGAGTGTAGAAATAACTTTGAAAGCTGTAAGAACTATGATCAACAGCATGATCATCCATAATTCCAGAGCACTGATAGTGAAGCATGCCACTTGATTCCTGAGATGTGATAGATTTCATCTGGGTAAAAAAAACAAAAACAAAAACATCCATTTGCATATAAAGCCAATGAAAGGTGGTTTTTTTTTTGCGTGTTAGTGTGCATATTAGTTACAAGGGACTTGTTTATTTTTTTTCTGTTTTTTTCCTCCCTCCAGTGCAGTGGAAAGGACACCGAGGTGCCAAAAAGTATTTTTCTTCTTTAAAAAACTATAAAATACAGAGTTTTGGGGAGGAATGCTATAAACATGGAATATTATATGCACTTTCAGATGAGGTCATTGTATACTATTAGTTTTACTTAATTGCTTATCTTTGTAAACAATTAAGTAAAACTAATTACAAAAAACTTCTCACAGAGTGGGTATAATATGTAAATATGCATAAAAACAAAATATGGCAACAAAAAAATTAAAGTGAGTTTAAGAGAAGAGAGGAAAGGAGAGATTAAGCAAATGGATTCAGTTTTTTTTTTTTTTTGGTGAAGTAAGAGATAAGTTTTACAGCTGAGAGGATGGGAAAGGGTACTCCTTGAAAACCTGAAAGAGGAGGAATGAAAATTTTTGGAAGAATTAGTGTGGTAAGTGGCATAGTGAATTGATTATGGAGGTGCAAAATGATTACCTTGCTGAGGTGAGGACCCAGATGAGAAAGTGATATTCTTTGCATTTACTTATTTGCATAGGGGTTGAATCCCTATAACCTCCAATTAAAAAGTAAGCTTCTCAAGGTCAAGGAGTGTTTTTTTTTTTTATCTTTTCATCCCTAATAACTGGTTGACCAGCGCTAGTGGAGCAAAGTCCTTACCTAATGCCTATATAATGATATCATATGACCAATCTCTATCCCTATCCCTAGAATCTTTTGAAGTCTTGTGCACATAGCAAAGTCCTTACCTAGTGCCTATACAACGAAATCATATGACCAATCTCTAGCCCTATCCCTAGAATCTTTTGAAGTCTTGTGTAGGAATTTTTTAAATGTTGAATTTAAATAAAAGCCAGAGCTTTACCCTGTCTCTTGACTCCATGCTTCCCATTGTATTAGGCTGATCCCAAACTAAAATACACAGAATCCCCCTCTCTTCATATAGTATCAAATGATCCAAAATAGGAAAAGCAAATGGACACTTGCTGATTTCTAGGGTTAATATTTGTTATTGTGGGGCAGCTAAGTGGAGAGAGTGCCAGGCCTGGAGTCAGGAAGACTCATAACCCTCTTCCCCTTAGTTTCTTCTTCTAGAATGCGAGCTGGGAAAGGAAATGGCAAACCCCTTCATCATCTCTGCCAAGAAAACCCCACATGGGTCATAGAGTTAGACATGACTGAAAACAACTGAACAGCAACAACAACAAAATGCTTATTTAGTTGTTTCTCTAAAGTGAAAGTTTTCAGGCAAATCTTTCAAAATATCACTGCCACTGTTACTTACCTAGAAAATGGGAAGACTTGCACTGACCCTTTCTCTGTGAGGAATAGCACATTCATAGCATAAGTGTTATCTGATGAAACTTATCAAAGAAAAAGTGTAAATGATCTGGTTTAGAGGTTCAGGGGTGCTGGGACCCCAAAATCACAACATGTGGGTCCTGTCTGAAAGAACTGAACCCAAGCCTTCTTTCAGCCAAAGACAAGGTTTATTAGAACATCCATCATATTGGACAGACTCTTAAGGAGTCTGAACATTAGTAAGCTATTGGCTAGATTATAAGAATCCCAGCAGTGGCTAGATTTAAAGACTCTAAATATCTTAGTGGAGACAAGATGGACCTTATATACAGAAAGACTATGGGAGGGATTTAGGAGTGAATGGGAGTGGTGAGTAAACTGGGGTGAACAGGACTCCTGGGACCTGGACAATGGAGCCTAGCTAGGTTTAAGTGTGGGAAATGGCCAGGAGCCATAGGGAGGGCTAGGATAGGTTAAGGGTAACAGAATTGGGAGATTGGGTGTAGCCACAATGAAAGGCCAGTTGTTGGGATTCTAGCCTCAGGCTAACACCAGAGACTTGGCCATGTGGGAAAGTCCAGGGTTTTTCCTTTCTGGGGCCCAGATCCCAACCTTGTCATAACTATTGTTTTCATTCATATGCATGGCCAGGATCACAACATTGAAGTGTACTGAAGTCTAAACATGCATGGACAAAGATGAAGGGCCAACCCTCTAAATTGCTCTGGACTTCAACTTGTAAAAGCTGTACCTCATAATGCTTCCATTCTCTTCCCTTCCTGACTATAATAGAACTGCTAGCTGAAGATAGTCTTGTGCTCCCCAATATCCTTCACCTGTATACCTCCTCCACATTAAATCTGTCTGTCCTAACCTTGAGTCAAAGGAGAATCCAACTTTTTTTCCTACTTAAACATATCCCTTATTTCTGAATTTTATTTTTCAATGAAATTAAAGAAGCCAATGCCCCATTTTGAAACTTAAATCTGCACTTCATTACAGCATTGAGGTGACGGCTTGTCACCTGGCATCATCTTCACAGAGAAACTGGTTTCAATAAGACAACTCAAGAAGCCGCATGAGATAACTGCTGAAAGGGTGCTGGTCGGAATTCTAGGCAATTTCCTCTGGTGGTATGCTGCCTGTCTTCCACTTTATAGAAAGCAGGATTAGAAAATAGGAAATAGAAGCAGAGCAAATAAAAGGAGAATGAGAAAATGAATGTCTGAAGGTTGGAAAAACTCAGAAGACTGACTTGAAAATGAGAGTCCACTTTCAAATAATAAAAAAAAATAACTTGATGATTAGAGGAAGGAGAGAAGGAAATAGAAAAATTGGGGTTAAACAGAAAAAAAAATAAAGATAACATAAAATGTAACAGGGAAAATAGAAAATGTTTGAAGCAAAATATGGGTAATTAGTATGCAGACCATTTTCTCTGCTTTAATGACAGTTGAAAAATGTTAACTATTTTTTATTGATCTATGGGGAATAATCAACTGAAGAAATAGCAAAACATGCAAAAAAGACTTAGCTGAACTCAAAAGATTGTGATTTCATCAGGCTTCAGTATTATGGGCTTTCAGAAGCATTGTTATAGAAGGGTCAATAGATAAGAATTCTAGGAAACTGGTTTCTAGTTCACCTTTGCCAGTAACTACCTTTATGAACTTAGAAAAACAAAACAAAAGACAAAATAATCTTCATCTCTCTGAGCCTCAGTTTCTCAACTGCAAAATGAGAAGGTTGGACTAACTGATCACTAAGGACCTTTCCCAGACTCCTTGATTACTACAAGCAATGTATACTCATCATATAATATAGTCGAATGTATGTTTACATTGTATTTTTGATGTATATGTAAAAGAAAACTGAAATGCTTGGCTAAAACTATGTATATAAGTATATTTGATTGAAGATTGAATCATATTGATTATGTGTGATTTGTAGCATGTACTGTAGGTCTATGAACTATTAAATTTTTTATTGACAAAATATATATAAAATATGTGTTTCAGAAATGATCACCAAGATGAAGAAAGGGGGCATGCTTGTGGTTGCCATCTTCTTACTGCTGAGCCATGCTCCTTGGCCTTTGGATGCTAACTCTGAAGATGAGGAAGAACAAGGAGATGTTTTAGGTAAAATTTTGCCTATTTCAAGTTATTTAATATCTTTTTTTTCCTTATCAAGTTCTAACCAAATATTTACTTTTATTTAGTGCCTTCCAATTCCACTGCAGCAGCAATCATATTCTGGTCAATTTTACTCATATACAAGGTATAAAGAAAATGACTTTGCCCTGGTGATCTACTGCAATGAAGAAATTTCCTTTATGGGATTTACCAATAAGCTAGAAGCAATCCAGGGGAATTCAAATAAAGTGCTTTAGGCACTTACTAGCTTTGTGACCCTGGGCAAGTCATTTAATCCTGTTTGCCTCAGTTCCCCATCTGTGAATGATGCGGAAAAGGAAATGGAAAACCACTCTAATATCTTTGCCAAGAAAACTCCTAAATAGGATATGAAAAGTCAGTCATGACCGACATCATTGAAACAACAGTTTTCCATTAGCATTGGGGGAACCCCATCTGGAGACAGATGGAGGAGGGAAGGAGGGAGATAGAAAATTTAGTCTTTAGTGATCCTATTTCTCTAATCTTGGGATGTATGAGGTGTTCAGGGAGAACTAGCGCCTCTGGTATGAAAGCTTGCTAAGACCTTTTGAGGGCTGCTCATCCACCTTTGGTATCTCCCTGTCACCCTGTCACTGGTAGCTCTAAGAAACTGTAGCATGTGCAGCAACCACACCTTGATAATATGTTTCAGAAGATAGTCTAAATCAGGTTGAGGGTAACTGACAGATTTCAAACCCATCAGTGAGTTAGAGGAATGTCTACCCCAAGCATGTGAAGACATCCCCTAGCAGAATGGGTGGATGAGAACAACTTGTTCCAATGTCCATAAAGCAGCTAAAACATACATCAGTTACCAAGGTCATCCATTGCATCCCAGGCCATCACCATAAGTTGTCTTAACTTTTGTCTTGCCAGTAGACTTTGGTGACTCTTGAAAGGAGAGGGAGGCTAATGACTTTGTGCAACCAACCCTGCCACACTTAACTCATGCACAAGTAAAGCCATCAATGCATGATGTCTTTGGTCCTCTTTGAAAAAGGACAAACAACAACAGCTCTAATCCCATATTTTTAAAGACAGTCCAGAAAATAATAAAACAGCTAAAATGTTGGATTAGAGGATGTCGTTAATGGAAATCTACTCTGATCTGGGTGAATTAGCATTCGAAAAGCTATGAGGTATTAACCAGAACAGGAAAAAGAAGAGGAAATGGAAAGTGAACTTCCAAGAATCCAGTTAAAACAGTTTGCTTTTCATTATCTCTCTAAAACTTGTATTATCTGCTAAAAAATGTCATATCAATAACTCACTTATTTTTTAAGTTGCTATTATGTGGAAATTGTTAACACTTAGCTCTACTTAATTGAATTAAATAATGCAATTTAATGTAATTTACTAAATAATTACAAGGCACCTATTATAGACAAGGGCAATTAGGTAGTGCAGTGAACAGAGTACTAGCCTGGAATCAGGAAGACATCTTTCTTTTTCTTTTTTTAATTTTACTTTTTTTCATTAATTTATTCTGAATTATCAACAATCACTTCCATAAGCTTTTGAGTTTTATATTTTTCTCACTCTCTCTCCCCATCTCCCTCCCCAAGATGGCACACAATCTGATATAGGTTATACAGATGCATTCTTACTAAACATATTTTCACATTAGTGATGTGGTAAGTAAGAATTAGAACCAATAGGAGGAACCACCAGAAAGGGGAAACAAAACAGAACAGAAGAAAAAAATATCAAATAGTATGCTTCAATCTGTATTCAAACTCCATAGTTTTCTTCTTTGTGGATAGCATTTTCCATCATGAGGCCTTTGGAGATGTCTTAGACCCTTGTATTGCTGAGAAAGGTTAAGTTTATCAATATTAGTCACTGCACAATGTGGCTGGTATTGTGTACAATGTTCTCCTGGTTCTGCTCATTTCACTCACCATCAGACCATACAAGTCTTCCTGGATTTTTTCTGAAGTCAGCCTGTTCATTGTTTCTTATAGCTCAATAGTATTCCATTACATTCATATACCACAACTTGTTCAGCCATGCACCAATTAATGGAAATCCTCTCAATTTCCAATTCTTTGCCACCATAGAAAGAGCTGCTATGAATATTTTTGTACATGTGGGTCCTTTTCCCATTTGTATGTTCTCTCTGGAATATAGCCCTAGAAGTACTATTGCTGGATCAATACACAATTTTATAACCCTTTGGGCATAGTTCCAAATTGCTCTCCAAAACAGTTGGATCATTTCACAACTCCACCAACAATGCATTAGTGTTCCAATTTTCCCACATCTTCAACATTTATCGTTTTTCTGTTTTGTCATGTTAGCTAATCTGATAGGTGTGATGTGGTACCTCAGAGTTGTTTTGATTTGCATTTCTCTGATTAATAGTGATTTAGAACATTTTTTCATATGACTATAGATGGCTTTAATTTCTTCATCTGAGAGCTGCCTGTTCATATACTTTTACCATTTATCAATTGGGGAATGACTTGCATTCTTATAAATTTGACTTAATTCTCTATATATTTTAGGAATGAGGCCCTTATTTGAGAGACTGGTTGTAAAAATTCTTTCCCAATTTTCTGCTTTCCTTCTTATTTTGGTTGCATTGCCTTTGTTTGTGCAAAAACTTTTCAATTTAATGTAATCAAAGTTATCCACTTTGCTTTTCGTAATGTTCAGGAAGACATCTTTCTGAGTTCAAATCTAGCCTCAGACATTTACTAGCTGTATGACTCTGGACAAGTCACTTAACCCTGTTTGCTTTAGTTCCTCATCTGTAAAAGTAGCTAAGGAAGGAAATGGTAAACCGTTCTAGTATCTTCACCAAGAAAACCTCAAATGGGATCATGAAGAGTCAGATGTGACTGAAACAACTCAATAACAACAAAAAAGTTTGGACAGTAGGCAGGTAGGTGGCACAGTGGATAGAGTGTCAGGCCTGGAGTCAGGAAGACTCATTTTCCTGAGTTCAAATCTGCCCTCAGACACTTACCAGCTGTGTGACCCTGAGCAAATCACTTAACCCTGTTTGCTTCAGTTAATCATCTATAAAATAAGCTGGAGAAGGGAATGGCAAACTATTCTAGTATCACTGCCAAGAAAACCCCAAATGGGGTTATAAAAGTTGGACACAACTCAATGACCGAACAACAACATATTATGGACAATATAATGTACTAGTCTTAATAAGAGACAACATAATGGTAGAGTATTGGGCTTGGAGACTAGAAGAATTCAGTAATGTCCACATCCTATCTAGTTCTACAATCCGGAGCAAATCATGCAATCTCTAAGTACTTCTGAGTAATTTAACCTCTATGTGTCTCAGGGAATTTTCTAGGACATATCTGCTAATTAGAACCCTACTGATAAGTCATTGATATTTACATGACTTTCCTCTGGGGACGTGAATGATTATCTGGACCTCAGTGCCTGGATTGGGTTATCCAGAGCTTATGAAGGACAGTTTCTTTTTTTCTGGGTTCTGCCTTCTTTGGCTTCTTCCAAGAGTCTTTCTCTTCTTTTAGGGCCCTTTCTCTGAGAAGAGCTTGTTACTACCTCATGTGCCCTCTCTTCTAGCAGAAGTCAGAAGCAAATCAGAAGCTCTCTTATTCCAAACTCTCCCTTAGGTAGGCCCAAAGTTGAGAAATAATTATTTCCACCAATGAGGAGAATTATTCAAGTTGCATAGCTTGCACCCAGAGTTAAGTATATGCATATAGAAGGCAAGGGAGAAGTAGAGATAGTAATGATAAGGAAGTGTGACAAGCTTTGTGCAAAGAGCAAGGAATTTTGAGCGAAAGGACCTAATTTCAAATCTCAGTCTTTCATTCTGCTGTATGACTTTGGAGCAAGTCACTAAAGCTTCAGATTCCCTTCAGTAATATGAAAGAATTTTCCTAAATTATCTCTAATGCTCTAGCTCTAGATTCTATGTTGATCAAAGTGTATGTTTTAACTTTATGATATAAATTAGTTAGCAAGACACTGTGCTAGGCACTAGGAATATAAAGAAAAATGAAACAACTATAGACAAGGAGTGGTGACTGACAAAAGATAAAGGCTGATAAGGTTAACCAAGTACACCTGTATTTATTTCTGTTTTAAAAAAGAAATTTGTACTAAACATATTCTCTATCACCTTACTTTAAGCCACTTTACCACTTTTTTATAAATAGATTTTTTTGGAGGGGCAATAAAAAGGAATAAGAATCTCTGGGTTAATCTGTTGAGTATAGTTAAATTTGTTTATGATTTATAATCCTCTGGTAAAACCACATGCTTGTGGTACTATACTACCACCTCGTGGCTACACACCAAAATAGCAGGTCCAAATAACTATTAATGTGGCAAAAATTAATTTGGCTGTCACAAACCTTATAAAAAGAAAAAAAAAGAAATCAAACAATTACCACTAAAATATCACACAGCATTTTCTTTTGAACTTCTCTAATGAGATTATGTATTACTGCATATTTTAGTAATCTGTACATGTTATCTTATTTACCTCCTAAAGTGAAAGTTATATGCAGGCAAAAAGTGTTTTTTCTACAAATCCATACCTCGACCTCTAGGACCTAACTCAATGTTTTACACCCAACTTATTCTAAGCCACTTGCACAATGCCTTGAAAAGTATAGGGGTTAGGGACAGTTAGATGGCTCAGTGGATAGCGCAGCTGCCCTGGATTCAGGTGGACCTGAGTTTAAATCCAGCATCAGATACTTGACACTTAACTAGCTGTGTGACCCTGGGCAAGTCACCTAACCCCATTGATTAGTGGGAAAAAAAGTATAGGGGTTTAATAGATATCTTTTTAAATTTTCATTCAAATGGCAAAGGTATTGTTTATCACTGAAAAATACATACATACATACATACATATATACATATATACATATATGGCATGAAATATTGATTTGTAAACATTTTTCTATTAAAATGTTTGACAAAATAAAGGATAAAAAAGTTACAGTATTAGGTAG